ATGTTGAATATTAAAGCCACAATTGTTGACTCCAATAATTATTGTTGAAACTTCATGAAGAAGTTTTCAAGTTGTAAGTGACCAACTTGAATTTGAATTCCTTTCCACCAATCACAACTTGGAAGTGGCAAAATTGAAGTGAAACTCTCCTAGCCACCATATTTGACTATTTAAGAAGAAAATTTCTATTGAAATTCTTCTTGTTTTCATGTAGATACTTCCATTAAGGCGGTTAACAATTTCTATAAATAGAGGTAGATGTGGGGAGAGAGAATGCAAGCAACTTGAGAGGAATTAGAGAGTAGAGAGAAGATTGGGAGTAGAGAGAGAAAAAAATATTAGTTTCTCCTAAGTATTACCTCCTTGTATTCTCATATTACAAGAGAGATTAATTGTTGTTATCTCCTTGTATTTAGAGAGTGTTGTAATTCTCCTACTATAGTGAAATCCTCCTATACTTGCCCGTGGACGTAGCCTAAATTGGGTGAACCACGTAAATACTTGTGTCCATTTTCAGCTGCGGTTTCTCAATTCCATTTTGTTGTAAAGCCAAAGTCGACCCACGTTATTTCTAACAGAGGCTTCTCAAAACAAGGGCGAGTGATGTCTTGATCATGTGCGCTTCGATGCTCAAATCAATTAAAAGGCTAATAATTTAGTGTAGGGGGAAACAATAAGTGAGAACAATGCAGGGGTAGAATTTTATTTCTAGAATGAGAAATTTAATATTACCAAGTGTTAGTATTTATAGGCAAAGAGAATGATTTGATGTCTCCCAAATGCTTGACACGTAGTCTTAGCCCAACAGTTTACAAGTCAAGCACAAGAGTCACATCCTAACCATCATAGAATTGAGACCTCTCATACTCTGTCCTATAAAAGAGGAAGAATGGACTTGACTCATACTCGCTCTTTAAGAGATGTCGTTCCAATCAAATAGTAAGTGGCTCGAAGTGTCAAGTTAAATCTAGCATAAGGTGTCAGGCTTCGGACCATAATCACCTCGATCACCAGAGGCCCATCCAATGTGGTTAAGGTTTGGGTCCATTTCGATCGCATCTAATAGAAGTAATAAGCCTATGTTGAGTTTTTAAACTCAAATTAGGTTGGATTTTTTAGACAATATTTTTTTTTTCCTTCTTTCCACATGTTATTATTAGAAAAATATTGTTTTCCTTTATTTCACATGACTTCGTATCTTATTTCCATCTTTGTAGTATTTTTAAGGTTTGGCATGCACCCCTATAAATACTAGACTCTTTTCACAAGTTTTGTATTACTAAAATAGAGAATAATTGTGTATGCACAGTTATTGTATCTGTCTTCTCCATATTAGTCAAGTTAATATAATACTATATTCCTTTGCCAATTAATTCTTTGTTTATCTTATTTGTTTGCGATCATATATTTCCTATTATGTCATGTATATTGCATTGATCCGTTTCATTTTCCAACAAGTGATATCAGAGCTGCTGATTATGATTTGTTTGAGGTTTTTGTTCTTAATGGTGACCATGAGATATGAAATTTCGCTCTTGAATTACAATACAAAATTTTTGTTGTGGCAAGTGAAGATGTGAGCTATACTCACGTAGATGGATATGAATGTGCGTTGTTGAAAATTTGACAAAATGCTCACAACTTGGACGAAGAAGGAGAAACAACTGAATGATCAAAAGGCACTTTTATAGATCCATCTTCATCTCTCTAACAATATTCTTCAGGACGTTTGAAAGATAAAATGACAGCTGTGTTGTGGTTGAAGTTTGAGTAATTGTCCATGACTAAAAGTCTAATAAGTAAATTGTATCTGAAGTAGAGGTTGTATTCTTATCGCATGGCAGAAGGCAGATCTTTGAAAGATCACCTGACTGTGTTCAAGGAGATCGTTACTATTTTGGAGACTTTAGAGGTAAAGCATAATGAAGAAGATTTGGTCATAATCCTTTTGTGTTCGCTGCCTACTTCATTTACTTTGTTTAGAGATACGATCTTGCATAGTGGTGATACTCTTACCATTAAAGATGTGTATGATGTCTTATTTTCAAAAGAGAAGATGAAGCATCTGGTTGGATTCGAGGCTAGAGATAGGAAGGCCTTATTGTTCATGGTGATCGGAGAAAGGATCAATCGATGTCAAATTTCAGTGATTAAGTTTGTTCTTATCGTAAAAAGAAACACATTAAGAGGGATTGTGACAAATTGCATAACAAAAATCATGGAAGCAATCAAATATTTCAAATGAGATCAACATAGCCGAGAACTATATTAGTGATGAAGATGTTTTGACGATTTCTGACATTGAATCTAAGCCTGACAAGAAGTGAATTTTGGATACTGCTTGTGCGTTCTATATGTGTCCTAATCGGGATTTATTTGAAACATATGAAACAGTGACGCAAGATTTTGTTGTTATGGATAACAAGGAGCCTTATTGGGTAGCTAGTATTTGTAAAGTTAGATTGAAACTGGTGGATTGAATATGTAGAACACTTGATCACGTTCAACATATTCTAGAGTTGAAGAATCTCATTTTGTTGAATACTTTTGATTTAAAAGAGTATACGTTTTTTTGGAAGAGATGGAGTCTTGACGATTTGGAAGGGTGTTTGTGTTATATTGGCGGGATGGAAGAAGTCCTAGTTATACATCTTGTAAGGTCGGACATAATTTGTGAAGAAAAGTTAAGCACGGATTTAGTATCGTGGTGTAAATTCAATTTGGTATTGTACCTTCAGAATTTGGTTTAGAGTCTATATTGAATAATACTATTCCATCGAGTTTGAAAGATATGAGTAATTCAACTTTGTCATCATTACCTAAGGGTCCATCGTACTCAATTGCTAGGGATAGACTCATTGGAGATAGCTATGTAGATGGTGATTCTATTCCATATGCTTTTAGCATTTTTGAAGATGTTGAAAGTAGCCAGGAACCTTCTGTGAAAGCATTGGGGGTTGATTCTGCTGCTACAGGTGTGCTTCGACATTGTTTGATAATTTCTATTAATTTTGGGGACCCCGATTTTTGGGTTCATATATCCGTGTTGGATACTATAGAAGATGAGGAGTATTTTTGTGTTGGAGAAAATTTAGTTCTTGTTAAAGAGTTTGAATTTTGTAGCAGTCGGATTTATTTTTTCAGATGAAAAATTTTTAGAGTTTCATTCATTACATCAAAGTATGTGTCAACGTGGAGATTGTTGTTTTTCCCCCCAAATTAGGTTTTTTTTTTTTTTTAGAAAATATTTTTTCTTTTTTTTTTTTGTATTATTAAAATATAAAATAATTGTGTAGGTACAATTATTATAACCCCCGTTTGTTTTTCATTATTTGTCCATTAAAATGAAAAATATGACCGTTATTTATCACATCAAGCCATCATATTTGACTTTCTATCTCTTCTGTGGGACCCGTAAGGTCTATATTTTTTATTCTCATTTTTGCATTAATGTGTACTAAACAGGATGTATATTTGTCTTCTTCATATTAATCAACCGAATAAAATACTCTATTCCTCTGCCAATTAATTATTTATCTTTTATCTTATTATTTATTTGCGATCATAGACTTCATATCGTGTCATATATATTATCTCGGTCCATTTTATTTTCCAACCGTCTTCATGAAGTTATGTTGCCTTGGGGATTGTTGTTGATGAGGCATTAGACCGCGCTCTCAACTATTCCGAGTTGAAAGTGGTTGATATGATGGTAGATGGAAGAGGCAATACTTTTGTTGTTCATTTTTTTTAGTTGACAGTCACATAATCTACCACATAGATGGAAGCGCAACAAATTCCTTTGATAGTAATCCAAATTATCTCTTGAAAAATATTAATTATTTGCAAATTGACCATTTTAAATTAACTGTAATTCCAAGTTGAGCAAAATGTAAGTTGTTTCTATATTTAAATGAATTTTCCACAAAAAGAATTGTATTACCAGTTTGCATTAAATGAATTTCCATATAACAAATTGATAACTTAAAAATAATCTAATAATAAATTATGGTCTTATTTTGTTCAATTCTAAATTATTTTTCGATCAGAATTTTACATAATAACATCGACTGATAAAAAAAATCCTCACAAAATGCCTAATTGTTACAAACTTAAAAAGTCGACCACTCGTAAGCATTTATTAAAATCAGCAAGTGCTCAACATGCCCTCAAGTCTTAATCAACCTTTATTTTTTCTACATATTGCATCATTTCGTTAATCAAGTGTTGATTAGTATTATATAATTCAATTCAAAACTTTGGCTTACACAAGATAATGATCTCAACAAAACCCACTTTCTTAATTCAAACAAATTATCTTGTTAACATCATTGCTTACTTTCTAGTAACATGCTTTGAATTCAATAATTGTTTTTATTACACTTGATACCACTTTGAGTGACATGCTTTATTAAAAACAATGATAAAATAAAAATGCAAATTAAAAGTGGACAGGTTCTATTATCGTAAGAGTAAAAAGCGAATAAAAAATTAATAAAATAATAAAAAAAACTTTTATTAGTGTATGTGTTCATCCATTTTCACTACTTTAACACTTTTTCTCAGAGCAATTTTGATTATGTAGTCTCGGAGTTCATATTGTGGGAAACTCAATCTTTTCGAATGATATTGAAGAATATAGTATTCTAGAAAAATTCATAAAATTTGATGAAATTCTCTTCTTGGACAAATTTATCAAAGAATACTCGAAGACACATTTATAAAAGTTTAGTACAGAAATCTCAAGGAAAAAAAAAAACACCTCTAACATATGTATGATCGATTTTGAAGAACTTTTCATTATTAATATCTTTCAAATATGAATCTATTAGATTCAGAACGGAAAAACATGCATCACTAACTCACGTTCTTCATGTCTTAAGCAAAATGTAATCTCTCTTTAACTTTAGGTCAATTCAGGCTAATAATTAAAAGATATTTCATAAATTCATTATCATCTCTTAGGAAAAATTCATAACTTCGTCGTATTATCATCATTATTATTATCATTAAATTTTTTACTTCTGCAACTAGTCTCTCCTAGATGGGATGTCCAAGAATAAACCAAAATCAGATTCCTTTTCAACAGTCTCTCTCTTCTTGAATATGGTTGTTTATGTACTTCTCTGCAGCTGCTACTGGTGCCCTGTTTTTTGCTCTGATTAACATCTATAAAAGGGGACCTTTTCCCTTGAAGCGCTTCTCTTTCAATATATACCCACTGACACCGTTACATACAGTCTTCGTGAGAGAGAATCAAGAAAGAGAAGCAAAAATGTATGCAGAAACTGGGCTAATGTTACCTTATCTACCTCAAGAAATTCAGCAGTTTGATGATTTCTATTCCTCCCAGAAACCCAATGGTTCATTGGTAGTATTCTTTTTTTTTTTTTTCCAGCATTTTGGATTCTTCTCATATTTCTATTTTTGGTATTTTTGATGGAATTATTGGTTGCTGATCTCAATTATTTCGGAGGTGTCTGATTTGTGGGTTTTATCTAGATTTAACAGAAGTTTCAAGCAATTCTTCTCTAGTTTAAATTTTCTGGTCTATTGATTTATTATCTGAATTTCATTTTTGTTTCATGAACATTTTCTGGGCCAAGTACTGTTTACGTGATAAGAAAAATCTCATTTAGCTGCTTTGTAGATTGACTTCAGTGAAGAAGAAAAATGGCAATCGGATTCTTTCTTTGAATATTCCATTTTTCCATGGCTATGTATGTCAAGTTCTTGAATTTTCGTTATGTTTTGTGATCTATTTATATAAGATAAATGATTGGAAAATTTAATGTCATAATAATTAGTTCCTTATTCTTTACTCATTTTTCATTTCTTCTACTTCATCATTTTACACACAAACAACATATCTACCACTTTCCGCCTACTTATATTCTTGGTTGCAAGATATTCTTTTGCTTTTGCTTTTATCTTTTTTTTATGATAATGCCAAGTTGTTTGAGCCAATAGAAATTGCGAAAATGGATTCTTGTAGACGATCCCAAATTTACTGAGGACAAAACTTAATTTGTTGTAATTGTTCTTTGTGATGTCAATTTGTTGTTGAGGGTTCACTTTTAACTGCACTTACTGATATTAGGATGGAGAGGTGGGAGAAGAGCGAAGGCTTAGCCACCCGTTTATGATTGTTATTCTATAGGTCTTTGTGGGATTTCCAATTGGAAAAGCATATTTCCCTTAAAGGAAAAGTCTTGATCTCTTGAGCTTTTCGTTTGTTTGATGATTTAGTTGGTTACTTTAAGTGATATAATGCAGCTTATATTGTTTACCAGGAACGAGAGTTTCATTAGTGAGTGCGAATTTTTTTTTCTATGTGAAAATTTCTCCTGGTTTAGTGCAATCATTTATGACATATTAGTGTAACATCTAGGTAGACAAATCTAGTGGCTGATGTAGTTGCAGATGTCATTACCTTCTTTCTTTGTCTGCACTGGAAAGATGAATTTTGTGGAAATTTGCCTTATCCTTTAAAAGCCAAGTTTTGTAATAAGTAGAATTTGGACGAGGGAACGTTGAATTAATCTACCATCACTTAAATTCTTTGAACATGGGTACCAATGTCTAATGATCTACTGTTTGAACTTACGAACTATTTTAAAATTTACGCATCTTGCAGTATGAGGAAATTTTTGACATTCTGCACTGCTTAAGATTCTAGATTCATAAACATGTTCTACACAACATATTGGATTCAGATGTCTGTTCCTTGAAGCATCTGAGTGTGGCCATAGAATGATTTACGAATGCATGCTTGCTTACCCATATGCTTCAAGAGACTAGTTGACATACTGTACCCTTTCTGCCTTGTTGTTTCCTCTGGACATTTCAACATTTTAAAGTTTAATTTGCACATGATCACTGTTTAAGTCATATCATCGTGCATCTTGACGTTTGTACGTCACGTGCCGTATGGTTCCCATCCTTTATGAACACTGTCAATATTCTATCTTCCGAGTAAATTGGCTTACTCTTGTCTCTTAAAGAACACATTTTCTTCCATGTATAATTGACATCTTTACATTATGAGAAATAATTGTAGGGATATAAAATTTTAATTTCAAGCTCTTAAGTCCATCAAATTTTAATTTTAATCTTAATGGAGGGCGTGCAGGGCAACCTCATTCAGACATCCACTATATCGGATTACAACCTTGGGGGAGAAGGGGATCTCTTCAAGGCCCCTGAACCAGTAATCGAAGAACTGATGATGGGCCTCGATCCAATATCAGCTGCCATTTCAATGATTTCGTGCGGAGAAGATGTCATCTTCCCACAAGCAATGTCGGTATCGGATATTGAATCATCAATCAAGAACGGGCAACTCCTCAGTGAGGTTTTCTATGAATGCAAGAAGGATCTTTTGGAAAAGGAAGCATATGAAATGCCACTCTCTGAACTCCTGGATATCAAAATCCCTATTTTAAAGGCAGATGAAAAGTTGATTTCTGAGGGTCAATTCCAGAAAAGTGTTAGTTCTAGCTGTCTAAAGTCAATGGAAATGCACCGGGCTCCACTTAGGCAAAATTTTGTTGATTTTCCGGGTATGGACTTTGGGGCTGTTTATGGAATGCGAAGAGCATTCAGTGAAGGAGACATAGAGGTCAAGTTTGATTACTCTGTGCTTTCTTCCTCTCACTATTGTTTGCTGACTCATTTTTTAAACGCCCCAAGACTACTAAATTCTGTTAAATTTGATCGTGCTTCTTATAGATTTATCATATATCATCTGGATAAGATCTTCTGATAATCGTTATGAAGGGATAAAATCTCGAGGAAAGATATATATAAAATTTTAAATGATTAGTTCTTGGTAAAAATGTTCGTGATTGAGCCCCATGCACGAACAGAGAAATGTTTAGATGTTTGTGGTCTTTTCAACTGGATGGGACAAAGTCGTTGATAATGAGTTTTTATGACAGACTCTTGGCAATGGCAATACAAGCGTCGTGGGGCAACCAAAAATTATTAGCAGTTGCCCTTCTGAAGATCGCAAGGAAAAGCTCTCGAGATACAGGAGCAAGAAGTCAAAGAGGAATTTTGGAAGAAAAATCAAGGTTAGTTTTAATGCTTTTTCTCAATATTTTAGTTACTCTTTTTGCTACCATTTGACCTGAATGTATTGAAGATAAAGATTTTGACTTACGTTTAAGCACTGCCTAACATGCTTCAATAATAAGTACTTTTACTTGAAGTCAATCATAAATTTTGCCTACGGTTGTATACTGAAGGAATTGGATGTGGGATTGGAGGTAAAATTTAATTTCTTCAAATTGTTTGGACTATGCTAACGGTGTTTTCCGTTTCAGTATGCTTGCAGAAAGGCTCTGGCCGATAGCCAGCCAAGAGTCCGTGGAAGATTTGCAAAGACGGAATAAGTAGATGGTTGCAAGAAGATACAACTCTTTTCAAGTAAGATAGATAGTGGATCCAATGATATAAAGAAATAGATCAACGGTGGTTATACTAGCTCGTTTAATGTTAATGAAACGACTAGGCTTGTGGGTCGACTCAATAATCTGGACCTTAATGCTTGGAAGCTAGTTGTTTTCTTCTTAGTTTGAAGTAATCTCCTTGTAGATAAAAGTGTACAAATGAAGTTTATGTATTCTTGCCTAATAAAGATATATGAGTAATTTTCATATCAATTTTATGAATTCTGTCATTCAAATCCCTTTGAGCAATGCGTGAAAAACTGTAAGAGAAGTGGTAAATCAGCAATTTTTATATTGAAAGATAGCATATTTGGTATTCGATTGGACAATGTAGAAATGATTAAGGAAGAAAAATAAGTTATCTATTATCATGTTCGAATAAGTAACATTCCATTATCTGTTTGAGGTTCGATTGTACAAAGAGCAAAGAGTTGGCGTTGGCAGACAAGTGTGTTTGGAGCAAAATATATCATTGGAGGACAGAAGCAACGTTATTATAAGCAATTATGTGCGGTCCATTTGCATTTTATAATGTTTTGGCCAGACAAATTATTGACACAAGAAGAAAAATGACATCCC